GACTATGGTCAATTTGTCCGTTCTTGTTATTTTTTTTTTTTTATTAATAAACCCCTCATTACAACAATTTTTTTAAATTATTTTTGCCCGATTTGTTTTGAAGTAAGGGCATCCTTATAAACATCTCTAAAGAGTCATATTCCAAAATGACTTTGTCTATTCTAACAAAGTAGTGCTTTATTACTATGGACATAGGGGCCTCATTATCCTAAAGTGCCCAGGGCCTCTAAGGTAAAAGAGGTATCCACTCAAACTACTTATTACTTACAAAATCTATCTTAGTACACGTTAATATATTTACAGTGAAATATACTTGCATAACAAGTATCAATTGTGTCATAGATAAGTACATACCTTCAGTCATCATAACCTAGGATAACACAGTAGGTAAAAGTAAATAAGGTCATGAAATAAAAAACAGCCAGCAGGAAAATCCGCGTGTAATCGGAGAGTTATCAAATTGACCGCTGCGCTGGCGAAAGTGCGCCGTACCTACAATAATACGAATATGACAGCACCTGATAAGTCGCAACGCAATACCGGTTTTGTAAACCTGTACACTACAATAAACACATTTTATGTATTTATTTAGTTTATTTATGAAAATTTCGAAAATGAATCAAGAAACGTTAACCGCGTTGGTTGGTTATATATTCAATATTTTTTCTATTTGATTTTTTTTTCTCAGGACAATTCACACAGCGCCATCTAGACCCAAGTTAAGCTAGCTAAAGCTTGTGTTACGGGTACTAGATAACTGATACATATACATAGATTTTTTTTAACATACATATTATACATAGAAAACACCCAGACCGATACAAACAATCATACTCATGAATACAAATGTTTGTGCCGTGCGAGGAATCGAACCCGCGACCATCGGACGTAAAGCGGTGTGCTAGACCGCTATACCACCGAGGTCGTCAAATTTAAATGAATTAGTGTTAATTGGTGGTTTGTAATCACACACTTAAACTTGGAAATGTAAAGTAACAATAAAATTATTTAAAAGAGCAACACGCAAGTTTTTTGCTCGTTCTTCTTGTGATGAGACAGCTTTCCGAATTAGCGGTAGATTAAAAGAATGATAACTATGACTATTCAAAAGAGTTTAAATTAAGTTTATTTGAATAAATGATTTTCAATTCTATGAAATTTATCGAAAATGAACCAAGAATCATCCGTGACGCGGCTTGTGGACCCCGAATTACAGCGAAGACGTGACATAAAATCTGCCACAACATATAAATCAAACTTTACATTATTATATATTATCTAAATTAATCACATAACCGGCCAGTTTGTATGACAGTTTTAAACATTATTATGTTTTCTTAAAGGATTTATAGTATTTTATTTAATTCCTCTACTATTAGCTAACACTTTACATCTCTCGCCGAACAGAAGTCACGTGTCGCAATATAGGTGTAGATCTAATAACGTTGGAATTTGATCACCAATACAGAAGTTCGTAACGCTCACAGTAGTATTGGTCAGGTTTCCGCCTGAATATTTGTGGAAGCAATAACGGAATTAAACAAACCAATGTAATTCCATTAAATTATGCTATATACTTCCGCAACATAGCACGTAATTCGATATTTTTTTTTTTCGGACTATTCTAATGCTGTTGGCCGCAGCTGGCCTTTACAGCTTCACCGGACGATAGGGGGCGAGTGCAGATGGCACTCCAAACCCGCGGAAGGACTTATGGACCGACGACTGACCGAACTCCCGCCTGACAGATACGACTTTAGTCTGAGAGCACCGCTAGGGGTTCGAACCTCGGCTCAGGCCGTCGTAATTTCGATCCCCGTTTGAATTGGACCCCGATCGATCGGAGGGAATAAAATATTATTGTCATTATTAGACTTTAGTATACCTATTAATATTGTATATATATGTATATATATACATAGGTTGTAGGAGTATTCCCGTACCTATAACACATTTTACGACCCCTATGTATTTTTTTTTTTATTGGATTGTTTGGGCTATTGTCAGATGTGTAGCACCTGTAGCACTGCGACCTACATAGATCTATTGTGCTCGCCCTTTTCAGAGTTCGCTACCTAGACCCGTCAGGGACAAGAATTGAAGGATATTCTTAGGAGCGATCGTTTTTATCTCCTCGGGAAAGAGTGTAAACTTTCCAAAGGAGATATTTCGTTTATGCATGAGTGGGCTACATCCACATAGGATGTGAAGCGGCGTTTCCTCTTCAGTTTGGCAGAATCTGCAGAGACCCCATGTAACGCGTTACGTATAAATTATTCACGTTAATTTTTTCTGGCTGAAAGGGGTAATTAATTATGAACTATATTATGAACATTCTAAATAAAAAACTTAGGCATATGAACTAGAAAATCAATTATGAACTGTACAAAATATATCAATATGAACAAATCATTATGAATTTCACAGTACAGAAGTATAATGCGGGAAATTCCTACGTTATAAGGGGGGATCTGATGGAGATATTCAGTGGATTACAGATATACATCATCATCATCATCATCATCATCTGCTTCTTCCTTATCCCATTTATTTGTGGTCGGCGTAATATGTTTTTCATATATGATATATTACTATTATTATTTCTGTCTATTCATTCCATCTTGCGCCGTCCACCACCTTCTGTTCTTCTCTCCTCAACCCAAAGGTTGTCTGGAAGAAATCGCTTTAGCGATAAGACCGCCTTTTGTACCTAGCCTACCTTTCTGTATATTATGAATATTGTTTTTTTTGTATTGTTTTTAAGGTGCAATAAAGAGTTATAAATAAAAAATATATATTATTAATAGCATAAATGTTAGAAAGCAACTGATATAATGATAAGTCAGTTCCTATTACTGTTCTTGAATAAAATCCACAGTCATGTTTAATCGTAAACTACATATATTATTACTACAATAATGAGATAGACCGTTTGGGTTGGTAACTGATTCATAATTATGTTATTTTGCAATTTGCATGTTTTAAGACTGAAGCTCTGACTCATTTGACTGTAACGACACTGCAATTAACGTTACTTTATTATGTAATAACAACATTAATAAACTATTATTATAAATATTTATTTAGTTTTCATTAATATAATTGAACTATGTATGCATGAATGACGAGAGAATGTATATATAAGTGTAGGGAAACGAATGAACGAGGTAGGCAAACTCTAAAACGAGGAACGACTAATATTTGTAGCTGGATATTAGTGCTTTCTTATAATATCTGAAAATTAAATTAGTAACGCGCAGAAATTCTGTTATTTCGACTCCCCGGACTTATATATATTGTAGAACTAGCTTTTGTCTGCGGCTTCGCTCGCGGTAATTTATCCCCTTAGGGGTGGAATTTATCAAAATCCTCTTCTAGGGGATGCCTACGTCATAGTAGCTTTATGCATGGAAAAGCCGATCGGTTTAGAATTGACAAAGTTTCGTACAAACTTTCATCCCCTATTTTATCCCCTTGGGGGTAGAATTAATCAAAAGCCTTTCTTAGCGGATGCCTACGTCATAACATCTACTTGGATGCCAAATTTCAGCCCGATCTGTCCAGTGGTTTGGTCTGTGCGTTGATAGATCACTATATCAGTCACCTTTGAGTAATATATATTTAAGATAGAATAGAAAATCCTTTATTCAAATAAAATTAATTTAAGCACTTCTGAATAGGCATAACAATTTCCTTATCTACCGCTCATTTTGAAAGCTGTCTCATCACAAGAAGAACGAGCAAGAAATTTGTGTGTTGTCCTTTTAAATAATCCTTGTAAGTTTATATTTTTCAAGTCGAAATGTGTACTGTCTTCTCTCTCTCTTTCTACAAATATATCCCACATGGTGGTGAGGTCAGCTTTTCTTATTTTCTTATTTAGTCGACACGTTTATCTTATATATAAAATTCTCGTGTCACAGTTTTCGTTCCCATACTCCTCCGAAACGGCTTGACCGATTCTCATGAAATTTTATGAGCGTATTGAGTAGGTCTGAGAATCGGCTAACATCTATTTTTCATCCCCCTTAATGTTAGGGGTAGTCCACCCCTAATTTTTTTTTTATTTTAAGTCCAAACAACGTTTGCCGGGTAAGCTAGTTAGTTGATAAAGTTTATATGTTGTAAATAAATATTGTCGATATAAGTTTTACGTACTGTATTTATCAGCACGACGCAGTACAATTTAACTTGGCCCCGATAATCCTTCAATTGTTTATGCAATCGTCAATTAACCTGTCCTCCGAGTGACCGATATTATTCACGAAAACAATTTAGATAAACGCCGCTTACGTTACTGATGTATTTTCTAAAATACTACGAATTAATTGACAAACAATGTTTAATCTGTGACACGGTTATATGTAGTTTATCATCAGTTAGCGAGTGAGTCATGCTCGGTAAACTTAACTTACACTAGCAAGTAAACAAACAGACGTTTAAACCTCTTACACAGATAATTCAAAATTCAAAATATCTTTATTCATGTAGGTCTATTACAGACTTATGATATGTCAAATGTACCGTCAGTTCGGAATGATATCGAGATGAGAAGAACTGACAAGAAACTCAGCTCGTATTTTTTTCAAATTATAGTATATAGGAACATGTATGTATGTATTTTTAATGCAACATTATAAAATACATACAACGCTAATAATTTTCCCCTTCTAACACCAACCCCTATTTTTTTTTTTTTAATTTCGGGTCGCGTTTACTGCTACTGTTATATGAAAATCTATGGTAATTGTTGCGGGTATATGTTTATGTTGTTGTTTGAGACGATGTATATTACAGATGATAATAGACTGACAATATGTACATAGAAATAATGATCTTATATACTAAATAACAATAGGAAAATGTAAGGTGGGGCGACACAGTTTAGACACGGCAGTGCTTAGTATATTGTGTATATTGGATTGGTCTTACTAGACATTATAAAAATGCAATTATTATTTTGATGTATCTAAGTAACTGTATCCCATTTTCAATTGCAGTAAGCGTGGAGATCTCGACGGCTGACGCGTGATGGAGGACGAGGTGACCTTCCTGTTCCAGCTGGGGGTGCTGCGAGACGCAGTCTCCGCGCCGGCACACCTCCTCACGCTGTCGCACCTCAAAGAGCTGGCGGTCAAGTTCGTGCAGGAAAAGGTATTTATTTATCTTATTATTCACTAGCTGTTCCCGCGACTTCCTCCGCGTGGAATTTAACTTTATTTTTTTTATTTACTCCTTATTACATCAGCTAGTCAAAGAAAATAGTCCCGTTAAAATCGGTCCAGCCATTTCAGAGATCAGCAGGAACAAAACAGACAGACTGACAAAAATTGGAAAAATTGTTATTTTGGTGTATGCACCGTATTATTTTCATGTGCATGTAGTAAAAACGGTTATTTCAGTATTACGAACAGACACTCCAATGTTATTTATATGTACAGATTATTAATAGGCCATAAATTCCTTATAGACTAGCATATTATTCATGCCGTCCCGCATAACGTCGTCAGTATCACATTTTTTAATATTTTGTACTGCAGCTCAGCTCCTATTTGTCGTAGCGTGATGTTGTATAGACTGTCATCCTCGATAATTGGGCTATCAAACACTAAAATAATGTTCACTATCACGTCAGCAGTACCTGAAGTTGCCTTGATCATCAAAATTTTACCTTTTCTATAATATTAGCATGAGGATGATAAAATTAGCATGAAGTCAGTTAGCCCATCTCAAATGGCAATTTACCACGATTTTCAGGATGCAAACCTGATATGGTACATTGCTATCAATGGGGTTATAAGTCCAGTAATCATCATCATCATCTGCTTCTTCCTTATCCCATTTATTTGGGGTCGGCGTAATATGTTTTTCGCTTCCATTCATCCCTGTTCGCAGTCATCGCGGTATTTACTTCCTTTCTTACTATATCATCTTTCACACAGTCCATCCATCTCTTTTTCGGCCTTCCACTGCCCTTATAACCATCCATATTCATATGTAACACCTTTTTTAAAATATTATCCTCATCTCGACAAATGGCAATTTACCACGAATTTCAGGAGGCCAACCTGACATGGTACATTGCTAGCAATGGGATTATAAGTCCAGTAATATTGGATGATAAAGTGAGCTTGAAGTCAGGCCAGTTAGCCCATCTCGACAAATGGCAATTTACCACGATTTTCAGGATGCCAACCTGATATGGTACATTGCTAGCAATGGGATTATAAGTCCAGTAATATTGAATGATAAAATGAGAGTCAATCCAGTTAGCCCATCACGACAAATGGCAATTTACCACGATTTTCAGGAGGCCAATCTGACATCGTACATTGATAGCAATGGGATTATAATAAGTCCAGTAATATTGGATGATATATATGCTTGAAGTCAATCCAATTGGCCCATCTCGACAAATGGCAATTTACCACGATTTTCATGTGGTCATGGTACATTGCTGGCGTTGTAACCATTGTGGTTATAAATACACATTACTAACAACAGCCTTCCCCTAAACTAAGTATAACTCCTGTTCTCTAAGTATCATTGCTCTCTTCATTACATACCATAAAACAAAGTCGCTGTCGCTGTCTGTCCGTCCCTATTTATGCTTAAATCTTTAAAACTACGCAGCGGATTTTGAAGCGGTTTTTTCTAATAGGTAGAGTGATTCTGGAGGAAGGATTATATGTATAATACATGTACAAGACGAAGAAGCTGCGCGAGTAGCTAGTCTAACTATATTTATCTCGTTGCTAACTATACAGTTATATTTTATGGCTAGATCCCGGACAATGGATTGAATCGTCTATCTGAGCGCATCCTGCTGTTCCGGCACGACTACTGCTCGCCGAACGTGCTACAGCTCATCAACTGCGCCACGGACGTCACAGATGAGACCCTCGTCGAGATCGTTCTCACCGCCAACCGTTAGTACATCCCCTACCTTACTTGTTGTAGTTTTTTTTTAGACTAGCGTATCCGCGACTTCGTCCGCGTGGAATTTACCAAAAAAGTTAATTGAAGAAATTTTCTAAAATAAATGTAGCATAAGTTACTCCTTATTACATCAGCTACCTGCCTAAAAGTCCCGTCCAAATCGGTCCAGTCATTTCAGAGATTAGCCAGAACAAATAGACAGACAGACAATAATTGTTAAAATGTTATTTTAGTGTCTGTACCGTATTTATATTCATATGCATGTGGTAAAAAACGGTTATTTCAATATTACAAACAGACACTCCAATTTTATTTATATGTATAGACTAGCTGACCCGCGTAACTTCGTCTGCGTTTCATTTCCCCACCTTTTGCAATATTTTTCATTGCAGCTCCGCTCCTATTGGTCGTAGCGTAATGTTATATAGCTTAAAGCCTTCCTCGACAAATGGACTATTCAACACAAAAATATTTTTTCAATTCGAACCCGTAATTCCTGAGATTAGCGCGTACAAACAAACAAACTATTCAGCTTTATAATATTTATTATATTAAAATTAAAACTACGTGTCACGTTGTTTGTCCGCGACGGACTCCTAAATTACAGAACCGATTGCAAATTTCATTTACACATTGTGTGCAATTTGATCCAACTTGAAAGATACGATAGCTTATATTTCAATGTTGTAGTCGCAATATTATTTTATTTAAGAACCTTAGCAACAGCAACGTGTGGCCGGATCTGCTAGTAGTAGTGTAGATTTCATGTGTTAATATAGTTTAACATTTCGCTGTTTACAGCTCTACTATGCGAGGGCATGCAAGAAGCGCCACCGCCGCGGCCCCACGCTCTGGCGGTCCACTCGTACAAGGCGCCAACGTTCTGCGATTTCTGTGGAGAGATGCTGTTCGGACTTGTGCGCCAGGGTCTCAAGTGTGAAGGTAAAATAACCTAGAATAAATACTGTACGGAGAACCGTCCCAGGCGAGTGTAAAATTTCTACAAGGTAAAAACTCCACAGCGCCCTTCGAAGCGTTTCTAGTTGGAGTCACAAGGGACCTTTAGGTCCCACTTTTTGAACTACTCTATATTGTTTTGTTTTAATAGAGCCTTCTTATTCACCAAAGTGTCCCAGGCGAGATGGGATTGTAAAATTTCTATTCGCTAAAAACTCCACCGCACTTTTCGAAGCGTTTCTTGTTGGAGTCACAAGGGGACCTTTAGGTCCCACTTTTTGAAATACTCTATATTGTTTTGTTTTAATAGAGCCTTCTTATTCACCAAAGTGTCCCAGGCGAGATGGGATTGTAAAATTTCTATTCGCTAAAAACTCCACCGCACTTTTCGAAGCGTTTCTTGTTGGAGTCACAAGGGGACCTTTAGGTCCCACTTTTGGTAGCGCTCTATATTGTTTTGTTTTAATAGATGCTTCTTATTCACCAAAGTGTCCCAGGCGAGATGGGATTGTAAAATTTCTATTCGCTAAAAACTCCACAGCGCCCTTCGAAGCGTTTCTAGTTGGAGTCACAAGGGGACCTTTAGGTCCCATTTTTGGTACTCTAGACTGTATTGTACTGTTTCCTGTAATGGATCTGTTAGAAAGATGGAAAGCAATGAATGTAAGAATATTTTGAAATAATGTAAATATATATATAAAAAGTCTAAAACCTTTCCAGCCAAAATTATCCACAGGACTTCTTATTCACCATAGTCTGAGTGAACTGTTTCTATCTCTAGGTGCTTTACCTAGAGATATAAACAGTTCAGTGATTGCTTGATTTATAGATTTAATTTAAAGTGAACTATTTTTTTTTTTTGTGTATGATTATGGAATGATGCACCCACCTGCGCTAACGGTTTACGCTGGCGGGCTACCAGTGGCAGATGATAAGATGAGCATGAGGTCAGGTCAGTTAGCCCAACCTGACAAATTCACCAAGAATTTATCACGATGGTTTCCAGGGGAACCGCGTGGAGGTCGACCTAACATGGTAAATGCTAGCAATGGGAGTTACTAGTTCCCGTTACTAACAATACCCTTTCCCCCTAACTGAACTATTTACTTTAGGGTAAGCAAATGCTGAAATAGAAATTATTGTTACAACTAGAATATTTGGAGTGTATTTATTTCGACAGGATGCGGCCAGAACTACCACAAGCGATGCGCAGTGAAGGTGCCGTCGAACTGCACGTCGCCCCCCGCGGCGAGCTCGGGGGCGTCTGTGGGGGGTCGGCGGCCGTCCGCCTCCCCGCGCAGCCCATCGCGCTCCTCCACGCACAGCCACGCCTCCCACGACGACTCCCTGGTAAGGCGCATCGCAGACCTCGTCACCGGCAACAATTAGACCCGTTAGACCCGTTAGTGTGCGGCGTACCTTATTTATCAGGGCTGTACAGAATAGTTATGACTTTGTACTAATACTAACCGTAAAATATATTACTTATGTGATGAGAAATATATACATTCCATATGTAGAATTACAAATACCACAAAAAAAAACAGAGAAAAAATTTGCCTACGAACAAACAAACACAATACAACTACTCGAATTTATATACAACTTCAATACATATTTATTTCTACCCCTCCAAACAATCCCCCATCCAATTCAAACGGGGATCGAAATTACGACGGCCTGAGCCGAAACCCTAGCGGTGCCCTCAGACTAAAGTCGTATCCGTCAGGCGGGAGTTGGCTATCAGCCGCTCCATAAGTCCTTCCGCGGGTTGGAAGTGCTATCTGCACTCGCCCCCTATCGTCCGGTGAAGCTGTAAAGGCCAGCTGCGGCCAACATTGGAATTGTTCGAAAGTAAAACTAGTTCTATTACAAATAATTTACATGTTTTAATAGTAATTTTTCTAATGTCTGATAAAAGCTTAAGACATTTTTTTTATATCATAATTTGAGCGCGTTTGACCGCAATCTCACCTGATTCATTCCTAATTACTTAGAATTATAATAAAAATAATAATAATCTCAGGACAATTCACACAACGCCATCTAGACCCAAGTTAAAATAGGTAAAGCTTGTATTATGGGTACTAGATAACTGATACAAATACATTTTAATTTTGTAAATAAATACATATTATACATAGAAAACACCCAGACTGATACAAACAATCATACTCATGAATACAAATGTTTGTGCCGTGCGAGGAATCGAACCCGCGACCATCAGTCGTAAAGCGGTGTGCTAGACCGCTAGACCACCGAGGTTGTCAGATTATTGAATGTTAATATATTTTTTATAGTATTTTATACAAATATCATTAACATTATATTTGATTTAAAAATCAAATACTTATAAGTACATATGTATTACGTTAGAAATACAGAAGTTAACATACACTTTAGTATTTTTAAAATCTCAATTTTTTTATATGTAATTTTAACTATATTGTGATTATTACCAGCTACTCGCCCCGGCACGAGTGTACATATATTATATATATAAACCTTCCTCTTGAATCACGCTATCTATTAAAAAACCGCTTCAAAATCCGTTGCGTAGTTTTAAAGATTTAAACGTATATAGAGACAGACGTAAATGTGTATACGTATGTTGCGTAAATTGAATATTAATGTATTTTTTATAGTATTTTATACAAGTATAACTAATTACATATGTAATTTACATTTACATATATTTACATATAGGTACTTTCTTCAGTATTTTTAGAATCTCATTTTTTTATATGTAACTTAAACTATATTTTAATTATTAAAATAGTTCGTAGGGTCTTAAAACGAATAAAGTTTTGGAAATAGTTTGTCGTATCTTAGCAGGAAAACAATATTGCTAGCCAGATTCTGGCTCATCACGATTAACCCATTGAACGTTTTGACACAGATCTGTGCACACACTCTTAAACCTTGTGAAACATCTGTGTCCGCAAAACCGTGACTTCATTTTAACCAATTTTATCCTTATTTAAAACAAATTAAGATTGTTTATTTGTTATTCTTGATTGAGATGATAGCAATATATAGCAAGTATAAGTTTATTTGCGGACAACGTTATTATTTATTTTTCATACTGCTTTCTTGATATATGATAGCGTAATGGCTTTTGTATTGATTGTCGCATGCATCCTCATGTAAAGTGCGAATACTGTAACTACCATATAGTAATTTTTGTAGCTGTGACGTGGTCGAGTGGAATGAGTAGTCATGCTCACTAAAATGTCCAGACATGTGGTGGCGTGGTGGGCTGGGTCATTGGGCTCCCTAAAATATAATAATAATAATAAATAATCTCAGGACAATTCACACAGCGCCATCTAGACCCAAATTAAGCTACCTAAAGCTTGTTATGGGTACTAGACAACTGATACAAATATATAGATATGTTTTTTTTTATATGAAATATGGTCGAGTGCAGTGTTGGCTGGCTCATCCGTCATACTCGTGAACGAGTGCTGCTTGTAGGGACTGGTCTGCTCTTATCACTACGACTGATTTAATCTTATTGTATATTTATATTTGACCCAAAAAATTAGTGCTGGTTGGTAGTTTGTTTTCACACGTTTCGACTTGTAAATGTAAACTTACAAGGATTATTTAAAAGAGCAACACACAAGTTTCTTGCTCGTTCTTCTTGTGATGAGACAGCTTTCCGAACGAGTGGTAGATAAAAATAATTTTTGACTATTCAAAAGTGCTTAAATTAAGTTTATTTGAATAAATGATTTTCTATTCTATTCTATTCTATTCTATTCTTGGATAACGGTTTCATCCTCAACTGGTATCACTCCTCCAAAATGTAAATGTAATATTGATATAGAAATCAGACTATTATAGTAGCTAGCTAAGCTTATCCTATAAGTGCAGAAGAATTTCCTACCCCGACTTACATTTAGAAGATCGTGTATATCAATCAAATTTGTTAATGTCAATGCAAAGAAACTTATATTAAATTATAGTTATATTAAACTTTAATTTTGACTGACGGAAACGCCAATAAATTTAATATTAATCTTAGAACTGACTTTAGGCTGCTGGAGAGCACTAGTGGAGGATGATAGAGAAGTCAGGTCAATCAACTCATCAGTTCACTAAATTCATCACAAATTAACCGTGTTAGTCCCGACACCACGTGGAGGTCGACCTGACATGACATATCCTAGCAATGGGAATTACCGTTAGTCTCGGCACCAGAACTGACGTATTATTAAATACAGACAAACAAAATCATGGTATATTTTTAGTACATAACTAACCTGATTTTGAATACATAAATGTTAATCTGTAGGTATAAATAATAGAAATAGAAATAGAAATAATCTTTAGTCAAATAAACTTAATATAAGCACTTTTGAATAGTCAAGTTTTTTTATTCTTTCGCTTATTTGGAATGCATATTCATCACAAGAAGAATGAGCAAGAAACTTGTGTGTTGCTCTTTTAATTAAATTTTGATTTACTTATATTTAATTAACAACAAGGATTAGGTATGCGATAATCAACATATGTAGAAACCGCTACGCACTTAATATCTATTCAATCAGATAACATTGTCAGCGCTATAAATTTTAAGTTAGATATTTTCTACAAATACATTATTATCATTTATAAAATATTTTATGACACATTTGAATTTTTTTTCTGGCAGATTGAGTTAATTTAATAAATAAATAAGACACAACATGAATGGTATACTTATGTTTAATGTTATTTTATTAATTTTACTTACAAACTTGTATAAATACAAGTATAAAAAATAATATTTGTATAATTAAACTGTTTTTTTAATATTAAGGCAAAATTAATGAGATTATTCATGAATGAAATTAATATATGGATATATATTGTATAATGGGTTTTAAACCCATTTCAGAATGGGTGCGAAAATATGCATAGCGATTTTAAAAAAACTAGTATTCTTTTATTGGATTTTAAACTCTAATCTGTTATTATAGAGCATATTGTGCTTACACGTTAAAAATACTTTTGTATGACGCTGATCTATTATAAATACTTTTTTATGACTAACTACAGCTAAGCTGTAAAGCCTGGCAGAAACGATGCATTAACGGATAACCGTACTTACTAATGAAATATATTTATTTATTTATAAACTCTTTATTGCACCAATAGAATTAATACATAAGAATTATACAGAAAAGAGATATGACAGATGGAAGTACAAAAGGCGGTCTTATCGCTAGAAGCAATCTCTTACAGACAACCTTTAGGTAGAGAAAATACAACAAAAGTGGTAGGTGGCGCATGAATAGAATGGAAGAATATATATATAAAGGTAATAATAGGGATAGGATAATAATACCAATAAATATTAGAAATTAACACACATTATATATACTATATATATATATATATATATATATAATAAATAAATTGAAATGAAATTTTAATTTTAAAAACATGAACAATATTACAATCATATTTTAAAATATAAAGTTGATTATTAATTATGGCAAGATTTTTTTTGTGTTCCAAACCGACAACGAATAGTTGAACGTTTATTTATTTATTTAAAACTTTATTGACCAATATATTATGGTACAAAAGGTGCACTCAATGCTATAGGCATTCTCTACCAGTCAATCTTCAGGAACTGCAGAAATACTTGATGGTAGCTTAACATTAATTATATAAATAACATACCTATATACAAATATTAGCTTATTGTGCAACTTAGTCTGTATATCTGTCACAGGGATATATAAAAAACTAAAGTTGTGTGTGTTCTGTACACACACAACTTTAGTCTTTTAGATTATATGATAATATTTGAATATATGTATGTCATATCCGAAGGTGTTATGAATGTGGATGGTTATACGGGCAGAGGAAGGCCGAAAAAGAGATGGATGGACTGTGTGAAAGATGATATGGTAAGAAAGGAAGTAAATAACGAGATGACTGCGAACAGAGATGAATGGAAGAGAAAAACATTACGCCGACCACAAATAAATGGGATAAGGAAGAAGCAGATGATGATGTGTCAAGTTTTCAAAATATATTAGCAGTTGTAACAGGACAGTGCAGTAGATGAATACCGATTTGATTAATCGTATTTTTTTCATTTTAAACTACTAGTTTTAATTTAGTATTAATACCCATAAGGGGCTGTTCAAGTATTACGTAAGCAGATTTATCACAATTATTTACCCCTCATCCCCCGTTGTCAGCAAAAGTAAGCAAAGCTCTTACCCCTCCCCCCATGCTTACGTAAACATTTCTCAATTAATGTAATGTTTTTTTAACAAAGACCATGTGAGGGTTGCCATTCGTGTAAAAAAGTAAATTACGACCGATGACGTAATCATCATACAGACTCCCCCACCCCCATGTCATCCAAAATAAGCAAAGAAAAGACCCCCCGCCCCCCTATAGTGCTTACGTAATACTTGAACGGCCCCTAAAAAAACTTTGTATTAATACGTTTTAAATAAACATACACGTTATTTCTCAGTAACTACAGTTAAATATTTATATATAAAGTCAGTTATGAATATTAATTTCCGATAGTGCAACACTATTCAATTATCACAAAGAACTGGCAACACAGGTAATGACAAACTTGTCTCTGAAATAAAAGAACACACTACAGAGTTTCTTTTTTCTATGTACAATTTTTTTTAATAATTTTCAGTTTGTTTAATTATACGTTATCTTAAATTTAATTAAATGAAATTTAATTAAATGCATCGTCATTGCTAGACTTAATGTTAAGTCACTTACGTCCGTCCGTATTAGTTGAGACTGATTTTTTTTTTGTTGTGTATTGCACATTTTACATTGTGTGTTTATTTTTTACATTGTAATATTTTATTGGATGTGTAATGTTACACAAACTACTAACACGATAGGTGGTGGGTAGATGTTGTTACAATGTAATTGTAAATTATTGTAACTCGCTTCGAATAAATATATTTTAATTGTTTTTGTTTTTTATTTATAACAACCTACTCATCACCTAACTCGTTGGTATACATTTATATATAAAAAATTGACACGTTGTTTGTCCGCGATGGACTCCTAAACTACTGAACTGATTGCAATTTGCAATAGTGATTTGCATATTGTGTGCAATTTGATCCAACTTGAAAGATAGGATAGCTTGCATCTCAATTTATAGTCGCAATATTATTTTATTCAAGAACCTTAGCCACAGCAACGCGTGGCCGCCTGCTAGTATTTATATACAGTAAAATCGTGACGACACTTGTCTGTTTGTTTGTCAAGGTTACACGTAATGATTTCTCCAGAGAAATTAGGTGTTTATCTACAAAATTGTAAATTAAATGTATTTGCTTGAAATATGGTATAATATTAAAAGAATTATTATTAACAAAATAGTCCACGTATTTCGCCATTGTTTTGGCATGTATGATTTTTGTTAACTGATGTGATTATTGAAAATTTAATTGAAATAAAAAAAATACATTTATCTATCACACATATAATTAATAATATCTCAGGACAATTCACACGCCATCTAGTCACAAGCTATGCAGAGCTTATGTTATGGGTACTAGCAACTGATATAAATACTTAGATATATTTTGCATAATATACATAGGAAACACCCAGACCTACACAAACAATCATACTTATGAATACAAATATTTGTACCGTGCGAGGAATCGAACCCGCGACCATCGAAGTAAAAGTGGGCTATACCGCTAGACCACCGAGGCCGTCGAATAGAAATGTCCATCAACATATAGACAAAATAAATACATATTACTATGGATACCCTAGCAAGAGGTGAATTGCTATATTTTTAATCGATGATAATGGCATGGTCCAGCAACCTGTGCCAACGGTGTACGCTAGCGCAGCACCATGGAGGATGATAAGATGAACATGAGGTCAGGTCAGTCAGTCTGCCGTAAGAAATTCGGTAGGATTTTTATAACGATGGTTTCCAGGGAGAACCGCATGGAGGTCGACCTAACTTGGTAGATTTATAGCTACGTAATAATAATATCTAGAGTCCGGATTATATGCAACATAAAAAGCTTGTTATATGCATGAAAAATGCACGAAAATTGGCAGAATATGAAAAATTTTAGGAATCCCAAATAAAAATAGAAAATTATTCTTTTTTTATTTCAAAATCAGCATAATATTTGTAATGGCAACTAAAGCAAGCACAATGATGTATACAAGTCGCAGTGCTAATAAAAAAAACATAAATATAAAAAAAAATATTTTTTCCCGAACTACTCTAACGTTGTTGGCCAACAACGTTAGTTACGCAGCTGGCCTTTACAGCTTCACCGGACGTTAGGGGGCGAGTGCCGATGGCACTCCAAACCAAACGAAGGACTTATTGTAAGAAGCACTAATTATGATGAACGACTGGGGCTTTGAAGCCGGATACCGCAATGGAAACCCCAAGTAGCGCCCGTGACTTGTGACAAGGGTGTCTGTGAAATAGAAATAACAGAAATCTTTATTCAAATAAACTCATTACAAGCACTTTTGAATAGTCATATTTTGATTCTACCACTCATTCGGAATGCAGATTCATCACAAGAAAAATGAGCAAGAAACTTGTGTGTTGCTCTTTTTAATAGATGTTTTTTTATATAAATAATTACAGTATAACAAGTAAGATAATCAACATAGAAATCGCTACGCACTCATTATTAGTGTAATCTGATAATATTGCCAGTGCTATGGATTTAAAGTTTAAAATGCCTTTTTAGAATGCATTGTCACTCACCTTCAATACTTGCAGCTTCCCCCCAGGCCCAACTAAGACCAGGATAAACCCATTTCTAATACAATTCACTTTAGTATCCAAAACACAACCGGCACGCACTGCGCTCGTCGACTGAATGCCAACGAGAGTTTTTTTCCGGACTACTCTAGTGCTGTTGGGCGCAGCTGGCTTTCACAGCTTCACCGGACGATAGGGGACGAATGCAGATGGCACTCAAAACACGCGGAAGGACTTATGGAGCGGCTGAAGGCCAACTCCTGCCTGACGGATACGACTTTAGTCTGAGGGCACCACTAGGGGTTCGAACCTCGGCTCAGGCCGTCGTAACATCGGTCCCCGTTTGAATTGGACGGGGGATCAATTGGAGGGGGGATTATTCAACTACCGACCTCCGGTATTTATAGACCGAAGTCAGTGTAGTAAGGAGAGAAGCGGGGGTAACTTAGTTCGGTCTATAATTATTAGATGGCGCTATTTACAATATTTGTAATAATCTTTACATTGGGTACTTCATTAGTACTAAACACACCTTCTTATAATATCATTATATAATTAATTAAATCAATCATATATTAATTAAATTAATATATAAATCAATTAATTAATTAATCAATTCAATAAATAAATTAATTAAATCAATAAATAAATTAATTAAATCGATAAATTAATTAATTCAATCAAATATAATTAATAAAATTAATTAATTAATCAAACTACCTTATTTCAATGTAATTTTAAAATATCGCATTTTTCTACAATATTGATGTGAACTCTAACATTATGGAGCGGCTGAAGGCCAAATCCCGCCTGACGGAAAAAAAATCGAGTAATCTACCCCTGGATTGGCAGGTGAGCGGGAGCGCGGGTAAACGGAGCCGTTCGCCGTCGGGCGCGGGCGTGGGCGGGGCGTGGGCCACGTCGGGGGCGGCGGGGGCGGCGGGGGCGGGCGGCATCCCGCACACGTTCGAGGTGCACTCGTACACGCGGCTGACGGTGTGCCGCCACTGCAAGAAGTTGCTGCGGGGGCTGTTCAAGCAAGGCATGCAGTGCCGGGACTGCCACTACAACGCGCACAGGAAGTGCCTGCCGTACGTGCCCAAGGACTGCGGCGGGGAGATCAGGGACTCGCACGGTCAGTATTTAGATTTTTATTTTTTTTTTATTTAAATGAAAGAAAGAAGAAGAAAGAAAGAAAGAAATTATTTTTATTCAGTGCAATGTAAAAAATACAATATAAACAACAAACGGAAAAAAAAGAGCAAATAAAATGTACATATAATTAAACTTAATTTACCATAATTAAAAAATAAACATAAAATAAACATTTTTTACATCCAATAATGCACTGAAATGGCTCCACTCAGCTTTAATGTATGTCCTAGGTGAACATACAGCTGGTTTTCAGTGGCACCAAAAATATATATATAAAAGGGGGGGAGAGAGAGGGCACTATTTAAAATATTAATGATAATAATTAAAACAAAATTACAACTAATAAATACAAACCAATTACATATACTAGAGATAACAAAATAGAATAAAATAACATTAATAAATATAAACATTAAATATATATACAACTACTTTGCCGTAAGATTTATTGGTTAAATAACTTTAATGCACGTCATACACAGGTAAAAAGTACATATGGCGGACTTAACACCTAATTGCATTTTCTACCAGTCAACCATGAGTTGTGCAGAGATAAGTTGTTGGCAGTGCAAACACTTTATTTATTTTTCAACTATTTTAGGAGTTATTGTACGTCATTTATACTAATACAGAATAAAGGGTACATGTATATGAGTAAAATAGTGGTTTTTTCTATTACATATACTGAGCAACTACTTAGTGAGTCTTATTAGTGATGCAATCTCTTATTAATAGTCTATTGATCCGAATGTTTATAGTAGCGTCGAAATGTCATGACATTTTACTTATTTCCACACGTGTTTCCACCTACTCCATTTTTCTTAGGTTCTTAGATTTCCCTCTTTCCAAAGGTTGTCTGTAAGAGATTGCATTACTGATAAGACTCACTAAGTAGTTGCTCAGTATATGTAATAGTAAAAACACTATTTTACTCATATATGTGTGTACCCTTTATTCTGAATATTATATTGTGAGTAGTTAGTTTAGAGTTAGCAATTGTGAGTAGCTTTGACGTGGTCTAGTGTTTTGAGTAGTCATGCTCACTAAAATGTCCAGACTTGTGGCGGCGTGGTGGGCCGGGTCATTGGGCTCCCTAAAATATGGTCGAGCGCAGTGATGGCTGGCTCATCCGTTATACTCGTGAACGGGTGCTGCTTGTAGGGACTGGTCTGCTCTAATCACTATGACTGATTTCCTCTTATTAATTGTTTAACCAGTTGGTTATGTATTCAATATTTTTTCTTTTTGAGTATTTAATTGAATTAGTGCTAATTGGTGGTTTGTATTCACACACTTAAACTTAAAAATGTAAAGTAATAATAAAATTATTTAAAAGAGCAACACGCAAGTTTCTTGCTCGTTCTTCTTGTGATGAGACAGCTTTCCGAACGAGCGGTAGATTAAAAAAAATGTAATGACTATTCAAAAGTGCTTCAGTGTAAGTTTATTTGAATAAATGATTTTCTATTCTATTCTATTCTATTCTATATGCAAGAAATATTAATATTGATGTACTAGTAATACAACCGCTCCCACTCGCTCCTAGGTTATAAATATAACCGAAGCTATCACATTACCCCTCCGATCGATCCCCCGTCCAATTCAAACGGGGATCGAAATTACGACGGGCTGAGTCGAGGTTCGAACCTCTAGCGGTGCCCTCAGACTAAAGTCGTATCCGTCAGGCAGGAGTTGGCTTTCAGCCGCTCCATAAGTCGTTCGTTGTGTTTGGAGTGCCATCTGCACTCGCCCCCTATCGTCCGGTGAAGGGCCAACAGCATTAGAGTAGTCTGAAAAAAAAAATGAGTCGAGAGTTAGCGCGTTTCAGTATTACAGAAATTATGTGTTACTACATTAGTATTAAAGCTTCCACTCTGTTTTATAATATTTTTTTTTCTCTCGTTCTAATCTACGACTTTCCCCTCAAAAAAAAACAACTTACAATTTTCATTTCTAAAGAATAATAATTGTGTAATTCCGGCAGGCGAATTCCAAGACAACAGCAGTGGCGACATCGAGAACGCGCGGCTACCAGACGACGAGTCTGATGATGGAGGCGACAACGCGTCCACCGCACCTGATGACGAGGTACGCTTAAAAAAATAAATAGTTAATTGTAAAAAAAAAAATATACATTTCTAATGTGTTGCGGGTGGTACATAAGATGTTGTTGGTCGAGACGATGTATATTACAGATGATGATAAACTGACAATATGTACATAGAAATAATTGTCTTATATACTAAATAACAATAGGAAAATGTAAGGTGGGGCGACACAGTTTAGACACGGCAGTGCTTCGTAGACAATATTGAATTTGTCTTACTAGACATTATTAAATGCAATTATTATTTTGATGTATCTAGGTGACTGTGTCCCATAGATATTCCCCCCTTGAGAGAAAAAAATATATATTACACACAAAAAATTATAAAAGGTAATTATGAACAATATAAATTATAAAATATTTTTTTTTACAAATTAAATCTCACTATAGGATAAGATGTGCGTCCATAACGTGTCACTTTCAAACGTTGGATGTCAGCTGTTGACGAGCGGTGTCCTGTTTCTGCCTCGCCAGCAATTGCTTCGTTGTTTATTATGCTTTCTGGCTTGAGTCTATCTATTGACACATTTGTTTCTTTTTCGTCACGCTTGATTGTGAATACTTTTCCTTTGCGTTTGACAACTAAAAATGGTCCTTCGTATGGTGGTGTCGACTTTGGACGTAATCTGTCACATCTCAGGAAGACGATTAGGTCAGGAAGCGGCATTACTAAAATAGCACATAGGTGCTTGCAGTATTGTATAGTAGGCAGAACAATAGAAAATACAGTATTTAAGCTATTTTTCGTACTACTCTAATGCTGTTGGCCGCAGCTGGCCTTTACACCTTCAACGGACGATAGGCGCGAGTGTAGATAGCACTCCAAACCAAAGGAAGGATATGGAGCGGCTGAAGGCCAACTCCCGCCTGACGGATACGACTTTAGTCTGACGGCACCGCTAGGGGTTCGAACCTCGGCTCAGGCCGTCGTAATTTCGATCCCTGTTTGAATTGGACGGGGGATCGATCGGAGGAGAGTGTTTAAGCATATAAAATTTAAATAAAATCTTAACATCTCCCTATACAATATATGCCATCAGTAACAACGCCATCTAGTATCAAATAATGTGAACTAAATAATATATTTAATAGCTATTGAGCACGGCTAGTGCAACAATCAAAATGGCGAGAACGGTAAAATACCTTTATCTAAATATATATAACTCAAAGGTGACTGACGTAGTGATCTATCAACGCACACCCCAAACCACTGGACGGATCGGGCTGAAATTTGGCATGCAGGTAGATGTTATGACGTAGGCATCCGCTAAGAAAGTATTTTGATTAATTCTACCCCCAAGGGGATAAAATAGGGGATGAAAGTTTGTATGAAACTTTGTCAATTTTAAATCGATCGGCCTGAGACATTGCATGCATAAAGCTACTATAACGTAGGCATCTCCTAAGAATGGATTTTGATAAATTCCACCCCTAAGGGGATAAATTGACGCGAGCGAAGCCGTGAGCAAAAGCTAGTTTGCCAAATTATTCATGTGCAGAACCGGTTAACGTTATAAATGACATATAAATAAAATTAGAGTGTCTATTTGTAATATTGAAGTAACTGTTTTTTACTATATGCATATAAATACGGTAAATTAATATTTTTTACAATTTTTATCTGTCTGTCTGTTTGTTCCGGCTAATCTCTGAAATGGCTGGACCGATTCTGACAGGACGTTTTTTGGCAGGTAGCTGATAAAATAAGTAACATAGGCTACTCTTATCTAAGAAAAAATCGAAAAATAAAGTTTATTTCCACGCGGACGAAGTCGCGGGTACAGTTAGTTAAACATAAAAGTTTAAAATTACTCTATGATGTGTAATACTTATATAAATTATAGAATATGATTTAAACTAATTGTTTTAATTTAAAGTTACAAAGTATATTAATAAAAATTACAGTAATAGTCATGCAAAAACGTTTCCAGGTGCAACTGAGAAATCGACGAGGTTCAGACTGCGAGGCGCCGCAGCGAGATACACTGCCTGCCGCCAGCAGACCCAGCAGGTATGCACACAGACTCATACACCCACCATCAACGCTCCCATACATATACTCTAAACTCATACACTGCCTCGAGGATCGAAATTACGACGGCCCGAGCCGAGGTTCGAGGTTTTTTTAAACGCAGGGACAAACGAGCATGCGGCTCATCTGATGGTAAGTGATTACCGCCGCCCATGAGCACCCGCAACACCAGGGGAATTGCAAGTACGTTGTCGGCCTTTTAAAAAGGAATAAGCCCTTTTCTTGAACGTTTCAATATCGTATCAAAAAAACCTAGCGGTCTCGGCAGACTATAGTCGTATCCGTCAGGCGGGAGTTGGCTTACAGTATCTCTATAAGTCCTTCCACAGTTCTGGGGTGCACTCTGCATTCACCCACTATTTTTGAGTCAAGCTAAAAAGGCCATCAGCATTAAAAAACTTTGGAAAAAACACTGTTGCTCCCGCTTGTTTAGATAAGCGAGTACATTTACCTAAAAATGGAATTAGAAAACTTTAGAAATAGAAATAGAAATAATCTTTATTCAAATAAACTCATTACAAGCACTTTTGAATAATCATATTTTGATTCTACCACTCATTCGGAATGCAGATTCATCACAAGAAGAATGAGCAAGAAACTTGTGTGTTGCTCTTTTTAGTAGATGTTTTTTTTTATATAAATAATTACAGTATAACAAGTAAGAGGCATGCGATAATCAACATAGAAGTCGCTACGCACTCATTATTAACGTAATCAGATAATATTGTCAGTGCTATAGATTTAAAGTTTTTCTATAAAAACATTATTATCGTTAACAAATTCTTCAACTTTAAAATATCTAGACACGCGGCAGCGTGTCAAGCCGAGTTTCAAGTAAACTGGCTTGCAGCACCGTGTGTATATTTACACGAACCATTTGGAGCCACTTTTGACCCCCTCATAACTCAAAAACTCTTTCACACAAACCTGTCAAATTTGGTTCATATATTGAGACTTGCGAGATAAATATGTGTTCCAAATTTCATAAACATATCTCAAACGGTTATTTAGATATTAATGTCCAAAAATCGTCATTTTTATCACTGATCAACTATAGATCAAAATTATAACCCACTTCCAGATAACCTAGGAAGTTCAAATTTGGTATGCAGATAGGTAATTAGGTGAATATAAAGGAAAAAATCTGAAACTGGTAAATTGTTATCATTTTACTACAATTTTTCACTTTAATTGATTCTATTTCAACTTATACTGGACGAATACTAAAATTCTATGAAAACGTCGATAGCCACCAATTGACATTGATCCCTGGCGAAAAATCTCATCTTGTACTGGACCGAAAGTAATATTGTATGAAAACGTCGATCATTACCAATTTACGTTGACCCCTTCACATCAGTGTCGATAACTAGCAAACTTCAAATATTGCATTGAGCGGTAAACACTAGTTGCTATAATTTAGATTCTGTCTAAAATATACTCCTAGTTATAAGTACGAGTATAGTCGAATTTCGTATTTATTATGTTATTAACTGAGATTTGGTATTAATTATTGTTTCAATATTTAGCGCACATCGATAGTGTAAAATCATTATTTTTATAAATAATTATTAAATAATAGGCATTTCGCTATAGGGCGCCGCGGCGGCGCCGTGTGGGAGCGGTGCGATAAAACTCAATGTTTTGTTTCTGGATATCTAACCTATAAGGTTGCGATTTATGCTACGAAATTTATAGCTTTCTTAAATTATACTTATATATTTGTGATTATATTATTATTACATTATTTTAGTAAATAAGTATTTTATAGTCATTAGTTTAAACCAAAAATTAATAACAATTTTAGTATAGTTATAAGTAGGAATGTACAGTTAACTCGAGAATGAGAACTTATTGGTAACAAATTGTTTTCTTGAGAATTCAATAGATAACAGTCAATTTGTTACATAATCGTCTTTACGAACTATAACGTGTCAATACCAAGTTTCAGATATTAAATAATGTATATGTTGATAGAGAACAATTCCGTATTTGCTTAACATATGCTATTACTATCCACAAATCACAAGGCCTGAGTTTTGGCAGTCCTCTTCTCAACATAGCCTCCTCTATATTTAATAAAGGGCAGGTTTACGTTGGACTCTTCAGAGTTAAAACCTTAGATGGAGTACGTCTTAACAATTTTGATCCAAGTCACGAGAGCTCTATTGTAGAGTACAACCATCTGTGGACGTTATACCGCCCCGATTTGCCCAAAAATTCCTGATACTGAATTGGCAATGCACTTGAACATTTAAAAGTTACAAGAAAATATAGAAAATAACACAAAAAAAGACAATTATACTCCGTAAATATACGAAAATACAGTAATTTATCAAAAATAATTTGGTATTAATTTAGTTATAAATAAGTACCTCGTATAATTTATGTACAAAAAGTAATGATATCCCATCAAAAACATAAATGTGAAATGATAGCCGAGTTTAATATTATGATATATACCTTGATTGTTGACTTCTACGACAAAAGAGATGAGATCTAAATGGGTGCCAAGTTCAATGATCTGTCCTGAAATGTATTTATAACAATATAAAATATCATTTCTTCTTATAACTTAGGATAATATACTGTAGCCTAAGGTCTAACTTGGCTAGTTTTCATATACGAAATATACTGTAGCCTTCGCAAGTTCTAAACATGTTACTTGTCGGTTCCTATTTTAATATTAATAGTAACTAGCAATCGAAAGTAATAATTGGTATATGAGAACTGGCCAAGTTAGACCTTAGGCTATAGTATATTATCCTAAGTTATAAGAAGAAATGATATTTTATATTGTTATAAATACATTTCAGGACAGATCATTGAACTTGGCACCCATTTAGATCTCATCTCTTTTGTCGTAGAAGTCAACAATCAAGGTATATATCATAATATTAAACTCGGCTATCATTTCACATTTATGTTTTTGATGGGATATAAGTTTATTAAAATAAACTTAACATAAACATAGTCTGCTTTCTGAATGGAAAGCTGATACACAAGAGGTGTGATAAAGAAACTGGCCGATTGGATTATTAAACAAATGTTCTTAAAAAAATTGCGTGAACCGCAGTCACGGACAATTCAATCAGGTTTTAAAGAAATTTCTTCCCACACACACCCAGATTGTGAAATAGCTAACCAACATAGGTTTTCTCTGGTATATTTACTTTACTCTGGTTTTCTCTAAAGACTACAGCGTGAGATTTTACTTACGTCGAAGGTATATTAAGATTTTTAACTTAATAGGCAACGCGCAAATTTCACCAGTCTATTTCACTCTTCCATAGACTACGGTTACCGGTTACATGCTAGAGTCCCATCATTGTGGGATAAAAAATAATTGTGCACTTAACAATTATTTGTCCAACACTCTTAGTACTCTCACTCTAACTCTAAGTACTCTCACTCTAACTCTTAGTACTCTCACTCTAATTGTTAGTGCTCTCACTCTAACTCTAAGTACTCTCACTCTAACTCTTAGTACTCTCACTCTAATTGTTAGTGCTCTCACTCTAACTCTTAGTACTCTCACTCTAATTGTTAGTGCTCTCACTCTAACTCTTAGTACTCTCACTGTAATTGTTAGTGCTCTCACTTTAACTCTTAGTACTCTCACTTTAACTCTTAGTACTCTCACTCTATCTCTTAGTACTCTCACTCTAACTCTCAGTACTCTCACTCTAACTCTTAGTACTCTCACTCTAATTGTTAGTGCTCTCACTGTAACTCTTAGTACTCTCACTCTAACTCTCAGTACTCTCACTCTAACTCTTAGTACTCTCACTCTAACTCTCAGTACTCTCACTCTAACTCTCAGTACTCTCGCTCTAACTCTTACTCTTAGTACTCTCGACACTTCAAAACCACTACCTCATCATCCACACTTTCTAATCACAACATTTGGAGCTGATCTGTTGTGACCTTGCAGTTCATCATCGTCGCCCAGCGCCAACATACCACTGATGAGAATCGTGCAGTCAGTGAAACATACGAAGAAGCGTGAGGGACAGTGGCTGAAGGAGGGGTGGCTGGTACACTTCACTAACAAGGACAAAACTGTACGTATTTCTCAAATACTCACAGTTAGCAGTTTTTATTAGTTTTATGCACATGTTGCATATAATTATCTTATTTTATATTATATTTGCTTATTATTCGTAAGTTAATATTTAATATATAAATTGACAGATCAAGCGTCACTACTGGCGGCTGGACAGCAAATCCATCACGCTATTCCAATCCGAGCATGGCTCAAAGTATTATAAGGAGATTCCTCTCAACGAAATCCTCGCAGTCGACACCGCGCGGCAACCGCACTCTGGTAATATATCTACTTGATACTTTAATATTACATTGTCTTGTATAACTTTGTTCAAGTACACAGAGCTGCGTCATGTTGTCCGAGACGCTAGGAGGGAGATGTAGGTAATTGCGGAGTGTTTCTTGATGAACTGTTGAGTAGAATTGAAGAACTAGCTGATACTGATGAGATTATTATACGTGAAGTCACCATGTCTACTTAAATTATTGGTGGTGGACATGGTGACCTCACGTATAATAATCTCACTCATTGACCGTCGTCGGCTGTTCGAATACGCTAATGCCCGCATTAGCATGTACGATGAACCCCTAAGACTATTATCTCTGTTCTTGATAATACATAGTTGGTTTAGTAGCACTTTTGAGATGACACGTTGGCGAAAATCCGGATCGAAATTGCGAGATTTTATTACTTAAAACAAGTAATTTAGCAAAAGGTTAATTAAAAGTAAAGATTTCTGCATTTTCTTTAATGTTTTCCTTTGCCTTATTACTATTGCACAAATTAGAAACTAAAACTTCGACAAGAAATTAGTGGATAGCCATAAACAGATCTCTAAACACCAGGTACCTCGGGTGTACCTCAGGGTAGCAATCTTGGTCCCTTATTATTAATTGCGTATGGCGCCGATCTTATAACGTAAATATCGTGGTTTTCTGGTTTATTATGCATATATTATGTATATATATTGGAAACAATACTTTTGACAGGATATTCACTAGATTATATCTACCGGTGGTGACACGAGGAAATGTTATAAACGAGCGTTTCGCGTCGGTTGCAGACGTGATGCACTGCTTCGAGATCCGCACGGCGAACGTGGACTACATGGTGGGAGTGGACCCGGGGTGGGGCGCGGGCGCGGGCGCGGGGGTGCTGCCGCCGCCCGACTCGGGGGTCGGCGCCTACCTCGCGCGCTCCTGGGAGACCAGCGTGCGCCACGCGCGCCTGCCCGTGCCGCACCGCGCAGGTACCGCTCTACTGCTGCACGCCGTGTGAGGGGGGCGAGGGGGCGGGGGGGGCGCCTACCTCGCGCGCTCCTGGGAGACCAGCGTGCGCCACGCGCGCCTGCCCGTGCCGCACCGCGCAGGTACCGCTCTACTGCTGCACGCCGTGTGAGGGGGGCGAGGGGGCGGGGGGGGCGCCTACCTCGCGCGCTCCTGGGAGACCAGCGTGCGCCACGCGCGCCTGCCCGTGCCGCACCGCGCAGGTACCGCTCTACTGCTGCACGCCGTGTGAGGGGGGCGAGGGGGCGGGGGGGGCGCCTACCTCGCGCGCTCCTGGGAGACCAGCGTGCGCCACGCGCGCCTGCCCGTGCCGCACCGCGCAGGTACCGCTCTACTGCTGCACGCCGTGTGAGGGGGCGAGGGGGCGGGGGGGCGTCTACCTCGCGCGCTCCTGGGAGACCAGCGTGCGTCACGCGCGCCTGCCCGTGCCGCACCGCGCAGGTACCGCTCTACTGCTGCACGCCGTGTGAGGGGGTCGGGGGGGCGCACGTCTCGCCTACCTCGCGCGCTCCTGGGAGACCAGCGAGCGCCACGCGCGCCTGCCCGTGCCGCACCGCGCAGGTACCGCTCTACTGCTGCACGCCGTGTGAGGGGGGCGAGGGGGCGGGGGGCGCCTACCTCGCGCGCTCCTGGGAGACCAGCGTGCGCCACGCGCGCCTGCCCGTGCCGCACCGCGCAGGTACCGCTCTACTGCTGCACGCCGTGTGAGGGGGGCGAGGGGGCGGGGGGGCGCCTACCTCGCGCGCTCCTGGGAGACCAGCGTGCGCCACGCGCGCCTGCCCGTGCCGCACCGCGCAGGTACCGCTCTACTGCTGCACGCCGTGTGCGGGGGGCGCGGGGGCGGGGGGGGCGCCTACCTCGCGCGCTCCTGGGAGACCAGCGTGCGCCACGCGCGCCTGCCCGTGCCGCACCGCGCAGGTACCGCTCTACTGCTGCACGCCGTGTGAGGGGGGCGAGGGGGCGGGGGGGGCGCCTACCTCGCGCGCTCCTGGGAGACCAGCGTGCGCCACGCGCGCCTGCCCGTGCCGCACCGCGCAGGTACCGCTCTACTGCTGCACGCCGTGTGAGGGGGGCGAGGGGGCGGGGGGGGCGCCTACCTCGCGCGCTCCTGGGAGACCAGCGTGCGCCACGCGCGCCTGCCCGTGCCGCACCGCGCAGGTACCGCTCTACTGCTGCACGCCGTGTGAGGGGGGCGAGGGGGCGGGGGGGGCGCCTACCTCGCGCGCGCCTGGGAGACCAGCGTGCGCCACGCGCGCCTGCCCGTGCCGCACCGCGCAGGTACCGCTCTACTGCTGCACACAATAGCGGGGCGAGGGGGCGGGGGGGGCGCCTACCTCGCGCGCTCCTGGGAGACCAGCGTGCGCCACGCGCGCCTGCCCGTGCCGCACCGCGCAGGTACCGCTCTACTGCGGCCCGCCGGGTGGGGGGGGCGGGGGGGGGGGGGGCGCCTACCTCGCGCGCTCCTGGGAGACCAGCGTGCGCCACGCGCGCCTGCCCGTGCCGCACCGCGCAGGTCCCGCTCTCCTGCTGCCCGCCGTGTGAGGGGGGCGCGGGGGCGGGGGGGGCGCCTACCTCGCGCGCTACATTCTTTCCTGCGTGATACCATATTCGCGGATAAAAGAGCTTACATGTAAAAGCAGCTATTCTCGTATAAGGGCAGTTAATATTACAAGCAGAAATGGAAAGAGTCGTCGCTGCGGCGTGTAACTCGTGTTGTAATATACGTTCTTTGATGTGTGTCAGGGGAGACGGCGGATGCTGCGGGCGCGGGCGCGGGGGAGGCGGAGGGCGCGGGCGAGGCGGAGGGCGAGGGGGAGGGGGAGGGGGCGCGGGGAGCGGGCCGCGCCGCGCTACAGACATGGCGCAGGTGTACCAGATCTTCCCGGACGAGGTGCTGGGTTCGGGCCAATTTGGCATTGTATACGCCGGGCTGCACCGCCGCTCGCAGCGCGCCGTAGCCATCAAGGTACCACTTATATAATCTATATATTATATTTAAAAACCTAGGTTATTAAAAAAAAGCTCGTACCCGCTTATAGTCAGTATGGTCGATACCGCCCTGACACACACACACGACACCGTCCTTGCCGGCGAAGGCGACGACCCCATACACACCATATCGCGCAATCAATAAAGCGCTTGTGCCCTGTGCCCGGGCGCTCCACACCGGAGCTCCCGCCCCTCCGATCGGTCCCCTGTCCAATTCAAACGGGGATCGAAATTACGACGGCCTGAGCCGAAATACGAACCCCTAGCGGTGCCCTCAGACTAAAGTCGTATCCGTCAGGCAGGAGTTGGCCTTCAGCCGCTCCATAAGTTCTTCTGCGGGTTTGGACTGCCATCTGCACTTGGCCCCTATCGTCCGGTGAAGCTGTAAAGATCAACAGCGGCCAACAGCATTAGAGTAGTTCGAAAAATAAGAGTATGGTCGACTATGCACCAAGGAGACATCTACTTACTACTACTACGCCATTATACCGATTATTTCGCCTATTCCTATGTTCTTACTATGTTTATGACGTTCATATTTGACACACAATATTACGATGGTCATATTTGTTTAAAATTACGACGTTCATATTTGAAACAATTTTACGACGTACACTATTTTGACAGAATTTTACGACGGTCTAATTTGACACAATTTTACGACGTTCATATTCGACACAATTTTACGACAGTCTAATTTGACACAATTTGACGACGGTTATATTTGACACAATTTTACAACGGTCTAATTTGACACAATTTTACGACGTTCATATTCGACACAATTTTACGACAGTCTAATTTGACACAATTTGACGACGGTTATATTTGACACAATTTTACAACGGTCATAATTGACACAATTTTACGACAGTCTAATTTGACACAATTTGACGACGGTTATATTTGACACAATTTTACAACGGTCATAATTGACACAATTTTACGACGGGCTAATTTGACACAATTTTACGACGATCATATTTGACACAAATTTACGACGGTCAGATTTGACACAATTTTACGACAGTCTAATTTGTCACAATTTTACGACGGTCATATTTGACACAATTTTACAACGGTCATAATTGACACAATTTTACGACGATCTAATTTGACACAATATTACGACGTTCATATTTGACACAATATTACGACGGTCATATTTGACACAATATTAAGACGGAGTATTTGAAACAATATTAAGATGGTGTATTTGACACAATTTTACAACGGTCTAATTTGACACAATTTTACAACGGTCTAATTTGACACAATTTTACGATGTCCTTATTTGACACAATTTTACAACGGTCTAATTTGACACAATATTACGACGTTCATATTTGACACAATATTACGATGTTCATATTTGACACAATTTTACGACCGGCATATTTGACACAATTTTACGACGTTCATATTTGACACAATTTTACGATGTTCATATTTGACACAATTTTACAACGGTCTAATTTGACACAATTATACGACGTTCATATTTGACACAATTTTACGATGTTCATATTTGACACAATTTTACAACGGTCTAATTTGACACAATTTTACAATGTTCATATTTGACACAATTTTACGAGGTTCATATTTGACACAATTTTACAACGGTCTAATTTGACACAATTTTACGACGTTCATATTTGACACAATTTTACGATGTTCATATTTGACACAATTTTACAACGGTCTAATTTGACACAATTTTACGACTTTCATAATTGACACAATTTTACGATGTCCTTATTTGACACAATTTTACAACGGTCTAATTTGACACAATATTACGACGTTCATATTTGACACAATATTACGATGTTCATATTTGACACAATTTTACGACCGGCATATTTGACACAATTTTACGACGTTCATATTTGACACAATTTTACGATGTTCATATTTGACACAATTTTACAACGGTCTAATTTGACACAATTATACGACGTTCATATTTGACACAATTTTACGATGTTCATATTTGACACAATTTTACAACGGTCTAATTTGACACAATTTTACAATGTTCATATTTGACACAATTTTACGAGGTTCATATTTGACACAATTTTACAACGGTCTAATTTGACACAATTTTACGACGTTCATATTTGACACAATTTTACAACGGTCTTATTTGACACAATTTTACGACGTTCATATTTGACACAATTTTACGATGTTCATATTTGACACAATTTTACAACGGTCTAATTTGACACAATTTTACGACGTTCATATTTGACACAATTTTACGATGTTCATATTTGACACAATTTTACAACGGTCTAATTTGACACAATTTTACGACTTTCATAATTGACACAATTTTACGATGTCCTTATTTGACACAATTTTTCGACGTTCATATTTGACACAATATTACGATGTTCATATTTGACACAATTTTACGACCGGCATATTTGACACAATTTTACAACGGTCTAATTTGACACAATTTTACGACTTTCATAATTGACACAATTTTACGATGTCCTTATTTGACACAATTTTTCGACGTTCATATTTGACACAATATTACGATGTTCATATTTGACACAATTTTACGACCGGCATATTTGACACAATTTTACAACGGTCTAATTTGACACAATTTTACGACGTTCATATTTGACACAATATTACGATGTTCATATTTGACACAATTTTACGACCGGCATATTTGACACAATTTTACGACGTTCATATTTGACACAATTTTACGATGTTCATATTTGACACAATTTTACAACGGTCTAATTTGACACAATTTTACGACGTTCATATTTGACACAATTTTACGATGTTCATATTTGACACAATTTTACAACGGTCTAATTTGACACAATTTTACGACTTTCATAATTGACACAATTTTACGATGTCCTTATTTGACACAATTTTTCGACGTTCATATTTGACACAATTTTACGACGTTCATATTTGACACAATTTTACGATGTTCATATTTGACACAATTTTACAACGGTCTAATTTGACACAATTTTACGACGTTCATATTTGACACAATTTTACGATGTTCATATTTGACACAATTTTACAACGGTCTAATTTGACACAATTTTACAATGTTCATATTTGACACAATTTTACGAGGTTCATATTTGACACAATTTTACAACGGTCTAATTTGACACAATTTTACGACGTTCATATTTGACACAATTTTACAACGGTCTAATTTGACACAATTTTACAACGGTCTAATTTGACACAATTTTACGACTTTCATAATTGACACAATTTTACGATTCCTTATTTGACACAATTTTTCGACGTTCATATTTGACACAATATTACGATGTTCATATTTGACACAATTTTACGACCGGCATATTTGACACAATTTTACAACGGTCTAATTTGACACAATTTTACGACTTTCATAATTGACACAATTTTACGATGTCCTTATTTGACACAATTTTTCGACGTTCATATTTGACACAATATTACGATGTTCATATTTGACACAATTTTACGACCGGCATATTTGACACAAGTTTACAACGGTCTAATTTGACACAATTTTACAATGTTCATATTTGACACAATTTTACGAGGTTCATATTTGACACAATTTTACAACGGTCTAATTTGACACAATTTTACGACGTTCATATTTGACACAATTTTACAACGGTCTAATTTGACACAATTTTACAACGGTCTAATTTGACACAATTTTACGACTTTCATAATTGACACAATTTTACGATGTCCTTATTTGACACAATTTTTCGACGTTCATATTTGACACAATATTACGATGTTCATATTTGACACAATTTTACGACCGGCATATTTGACACAATTTTACAACGGTCTAATTTGACACAATTTTACAACGGTCTAATTTGACACAATTTTACGACTTTCATAATTGACACAATTTTACGATGTCCTTATTTGACACAATTTTTCGACGTTCATATTTGACACAATATTACGATGTTCATATTTGACACAATTTTACGACCGGCATATTTGACACAAGTTTACAACGGTCTAATTTGACACAATTTTACAATGTTCATATTTGACACAATTTTACGAGGTTCATATTTGACACAATTTTACAACGGTCTAATTTGACACAATTTTACGACGTTCATATTTGACACAATTTTACAACGGTCTAATTTGACACAATTTTACAACGGTCTAATTTGACACAATTTTACGACTTTCATAATTGACACAATTTTACGATGTCCTTATTTGACACAATTTTTCGACGTTCATATTTGACACAATATTACGATGTTCATATTTGACACAATTTTACGACCGGCATATTTGACACAAGTTTACGATGTTCATATTTGACACAAATTTACGACGGTCATATTTGACACATTATTACGATGTTCATATTTGACATAATTTGACCATGGGCTACTTTTAATGTGAAAAAATGGTTGTAAGGGGTTGAAAGGGGAGAAAGAATGGATTGTATGGAAAAATAGTCATTTATAAAGCTATTGATTAAATATAAAAAAAATTACATTCAAAGTTTGTAAAATATTACGACGTTCATATTTGACACAAGTTGACGATGTTCATATTTGACACAACTTAACTACGTACACTATATTGACACAATTTTCTTATTCAATTTTTTTCATTCAATTTTCTTTTAATGTGAAAAAATGATTTTAAGGGCTTGAAAGGGAGAAAGAATGGATTTTATGGAAAAATCATCATTTATAAAGCTGTTGATTAAATATAGTAAAACTGACATTCAAAATTTGTAAAATAATTACCCGTAAGTGGGGTAAAATAAAATAGAGGATGAATTTTTTTTATGGAAATTCGTCATGTTTGAAGCGAGAACTATGAAACTTATTTATTTTTCTCTTATTGGGTTAGGTTATTAAAAACTTTTTCAATATTTGGTCAATGTCACTCTTTTACCCGGACGAAGCCACGAGTACAGCTAGTTATTTATATAAACGTCGATTGCCATCTAAAATCAGGTTGACCGCCAAAGTTATCCTTTCGAACCACATAAATGAATTGTCTCTATGGTTTTCATAACATAAAATAAATCGTATATTGCAGGTTATCGACAAACTCCGGTTTCCAACTAAACAAGAAGCCCAGCTCAAGAATGAAGTAGCGATCCTTCAAAACCTCTCCCACCCAGGAGTTGTGGACTTGGAACGCATGTTCGAAACGCCAGAAAGAATTTTCGTTGTAATGGAGAAACTGAAGGGGGACATGCTGGAAATGATACTGTCGCATGAAAAAGGAAGGTTAACGGAGAGAATTACCAAGTTCTTAGTCGCACAGGTCAGTAACTTCATCTATTGAATACTAGCTGTTCCCGCGACTTCGTCCGCTTGAAAATTAACTTTATGTTTCTAATTTAAAAGATTTTTTCTAAAATAAAGGTAACCTAAGTTACTTCTTATTACATCAGCTACTATTTACCTGACAAAGTAAGTCCCGTCAAAATCGGTACATCCATTTCAGAGATTAGGCGGAACAAGTAGAAATAGTAAAAAATGTTATTATTTTGGTGTATGTACGGCATTTATTTCAGTATTACAAACAGACACTCCAATTATATGTATGTATAGGTATAGATGTATAGATATAGGTTAATTATTTAATAAAATTAAATGTACTTTAAAGTATCGTAAAAATATCAAAAATGTCTACAGATCCTGGTGGCTCTAAAACACCTACACGAGAAGAACATAGTCCACTGCGACCTGAAACCTGAGAACGTGCTGCTGTCCACCGACGAGGAGTTCCCTCAGGTGAAGCTGTGCGACTTCGGCTTCGCCAGGATCATCGGCGAGAAGTCCTTCAGGCGCTCCGTTGTGGGCACGCCTGCCTATCTGGGTGAGTGGCATTTACGATGTGGTTATAACATTTAATAGACATATATATAGATACGCTCTTTATTCACCAATTACATACACATAGTACCTATATGTAGTAGACGGCCTCGGTGGTCTAGCGGTTTAGCACACCGCTTTACTCCCGATGGTCGCTGGTTCGATACCTCGTACGGTGCAAACATTTGTATTCATGAGTATGATTGTTTGTACCGGTCTAGGTGTTTCCTATGTATATTATGTATGTATTTACAAAAAATAATTAAGTATTTATATAAGTTGCCTAATACCCATAACACAAGCTCTGCTTACCGTGGGACTAGATGGCGCTGTGTTAATTGTCCACGGTTATTCATTATGATCTTATCAGTATATATCATATATATCTATCAGTTCTTCTCATCTCGATATCAATCCGAACTGACGGTAGATTTGACTTATCATAAGAGTCTGTAATAGACCTAGATAAAGATATTTTGAATTTTTAAATTATTTGTCGACCTCGGTGGTCTAGCGGTCTAGCACACCGCTTTACGACCGATGGTCGCGGGTTCGATTCCTCGCACGGCACAAACATTTGTATTCATGAGTATGATTGTTTGTATCGGTCTGGGTGTTTTGTATATATAATATGTATTAAAAAAATATATACATATATATATGTATCAGTTAACTAGTACGCATAACACAACCTTTAGCTAGCTTAACTTGGGACTAGATGGCGCTGTGTGAATTGTCCTGAGATTATTATTATTTAAAAAAAAAAATATTTGTTCATGTAGGACATTTTAAGCCCAAATTATACTCACCCCGAGTGGGTAGGGAAGTGAGCAGCGCGAGAGTGTAAACACGATACTTCCCATGCCACTGGCACTGCCACTCGCGCTGCCCGGCGCTCCCTCGATTGTCGGTTTTTCGTGCGCGAGTCAAAGGACTGGCAGCGCGAGTGGCAGCGTGTTTTTACATTCAGCCCTCTCGCTCAGTTGTCGCCCGGCAATATTTCCGGCAGCGCAAGTTGTAGAGGAAGCGGCTAAATGCAAACGTAACATTAGCCGCTTATGAACGTTAATTTTTCTATTTTATATTTTTTTCTCTACCGTTCACTATATAGTGGATCTATATAGTGAACGGTAGAGAAAAAAATATATATTGAAGAAGAACTGGGAAAAAACTCAATTGTATTACTTTTTTTTTAAACCCAGTTTATTTACAATGTATGTTTATATAGGTGTCTATGTCTAACATTAAATGAAAATCCCGTGCATGAACAACTATTGCCATGCACGCTCGTCATTCAAGTAATCGTTTAGTAAGGCTTTGCTCTGTAAATATGATTTAACTGATGTTTTGAATTTATTTAAGGGTATATCTAGAATATCCTTTATTGTAAATTTTTATACCTATTGACTTTTTCTAAATGATAGAATAGATTAGAAATAGATTTTTTTTTATTCAAATAAACTTAATATAAGCACTTTTGAATAGTCATTACATTTTTTTAATCTACCGCTCATTCAGAAAGATGAGAAGAACGGGCAAGAAACTTGTGTGTTGCTCTTTTAAATAATCCTTGTAAATTTATATTTCACAAGATACTTGGGGACAGCAAGTTTGATTTTACATCTGGTATTTATTTATTTTATTTATTTATTTATTAGAAAACCAACAGCTTACAATCTAATACATTAATCAACAGTACATATCTAGAGAAAGCCATTAACAGGTTTTCAGTGAATTAGCAAAAGAAAATAAAACAGAACGTGGCAGACAGAATAAGGATTAATTTAAAAGTACAAATCAAATATTATAAATTTCACAATATATAAAACTAATAGAACAATTTTAAGAATACTTTAAGAATTAGAAATATTATAATAGTATTTGAATTTGAAGTCACTTGTGTGTGTGTGTGTATCTGTAAGAAAGAATGTGTGTGCATGTGTATATTAATATTCTTGTCTATTCATTCATTCATTCCTTTATTTATTGCTATTACATGTTGTAACAAAATTGGTCTTAATTTACTAAAAGTATAGAATCAAACATGAACCCTGAAAGGGCACAGCAATCACATTAATAAATCTTATATAAACTACATAATTGAATTTTTACATTATATATATGTATCGTTAATTAGTATAAAAAAAATAAATAAAAAATCATCACTACATTAAAACAAACAGGCACAAACACAACTAACTTTTTTCCTTGAAAAATTCCTGTAGCGCATAATAACTCTTTGCGATTAAATATTTTTTTAGAGCTATTTTAAACTTTTTAGAATCATCCTCACCTTTTAAGTTAATTGGTATTTTATTGTAAATTTTTATTGACATTGCGTAATGAATCATCAGCGCCGGAGGTCCTCCGAAATAAAGGGTACAACCGGTCGCTGGACATGTGGTCGGTGGGTGTCATTGTGTACGTGTCACTCTCGGGCACGTTCCCCTTCAACGAGGACGAAGACATCAACGAGCAGATACAGAATGCTGCTTTCATGTACCCGCCCACGCCGTGGAGGGAGATCTCCGCTGAAGGTAGGCACCACACATTCAATTTAACCTAAGTGGAACCTAAGTGGTCTCGTACAGTGCGGTTTCAGAGGAGCTTCCTCCCGCGTACACTTAGATTGTGGAATGAACTACCTGCCGAGGTTTTCTCGAGAGACTACAGCATGGGGGTTTTCAAGAAGGGTATATTAAGGTTTCTTAAGGGTCGGCAACGCGCATGTGACACCCCTGGTGTTTCAGGCGTCCATAGGCTACGGTAGCCGTTTACCATCAGATGGGCCGTATGCTTGTTTGCCACCTAAGTGGTATAAAAAAAAAAAAAAAATTTTATTTTATATTAAAATTTGCGAGCGCTTGACCGCAATCTCATCTGATGTTAAGTGATGATGTGGTCTAAGCTATTACACGCAAGCTCAAATAATGCCTATTCACTTTTGAAAGACCTAATGTTGTAAGAGGCAGGAATAGAATATAATAGAATAGAAAATCATTTATTCAAATAAACTTAATTTAAGCACTTTTGAATAGTCATAACAATTTGTTTTTTATCTACCACTCGTTCGGAAAGCTGTCTCATCACAAGAAGAACGAGCAAGAAACTTGTGTGTTGCTCTTTTAAATAATCCTTGTAAGTTTACATTTACAAGTCGAAACGTGTGAATACAAACTACCAACAAGCACTAATTTTTTGGGTCAAATATAATCTGAAAAATAGACGCTGGTAGAGAGTTCCACTCCTTAGCTGCTCGCATAAGGAAAGATGATGCAAAACGGTTAGTTCTAGCAGCTGGGATGTCAATAGTGTAGGGATGGAGCCGCTCTCAGTCTTGGTGTACGTTGATGGAACGGTGCTGGAGGAATGAGGTTGTGCAGTTCTTGAGCACATTCGCCAAAATGGAGCCGATAGACAAGCTACTTTACGTCGGTGATTAAGACTTTGAAGCCTTCTTGCTCGTCTGTCGATTGAGTCTAGAGCGTCAGGTTGGTACTGAGCGGATCCATCCCACAAGTGGGAACAATACTCAATGCAAGATCGGACCTGTGCTTGGTATAGCGTTAAAAGCTGTCCAGGCGTGAAGTATCTTATCATAACATTTATTTCAAGCAATTAATAATATTTTTATAACAGTAACCTGGTCGGGCCGCCGTTAAGCACCTGGAACCCGACCAGGGGGAGAGGGGGGTGTAAAAATAAGATAGCATCTCTTTTAGAAAGGTGAGGCTAAGTAGGGATGCGTACAATGGCTAGCTTGCATAAGGTAAAAATAAGGAAAGACTCACAGTAGATGACTGGGGCGATCTCTTGAAGGCTTGATTCCACTAGAACCTATGCCAGAAGCTTGACTACATACTTCACTGTCTAAGGGTTAGCCCAGCACAAACTGTTATTAGTACATTATCAGTTGATTTGCAGCGTAATTTAGCGTAAAAAAGATGAATTAATCTCGACACGTGACATTTTCAGCCATCGACCTGATCAACAACCTGCTGCAAGTGAAGCAGCGCAAGCGTCTGTCGGTGGACAAGTCGGTGGCCCACGCGTGGCTGCAGACGCGGGAGGCCTGGCTCGACCTCCGCGCACTCGAGCACCGCGTCGGAACCCGCTACCTCACGCACCCCAGCGACGACGCGCGCTGGGCTGCCAACCCCGAGCGCTGACTGTACGTACCCCGCACACTGCACACTGCACACTACACACTGCACACTGCACACTACACACTACAGCTACACTAGCTACCTCACGCACCCCAGCGACGACGCGCGCTGGGCTGCCAACCCCGAGCGCTGACTGTACGTACCCCGCACACTGCACACTGCACACTACACACTGCACACTGCACACTACACACTACAGCTACACTAGCTACCTCACGCACCCCAGCGACGACGCGCGCTGGGCTGCCAACCCCGAGCGCTGACTGTACGTACCCCGCACACTGCACACTGCACACTACACACTACACACTGCACACTACACACTACACACTGCACACTACACACTACAGCTACACTAGCTACCTCACGCACCCCAGCGACGACGCGCGCTGGGCTGCCAACCCCGAGCGCTGACTGTACGGACCCCGCACACTGCACACTGCACACTACACACTGCACACTACACACTACAGCTACACTAGCTACCTCACGCACCCCAGCGACGACGCGCGCTGGGCTGCCAACCCCGAGCGCTGACTGTACGTACCCCGCACACTGCACACTGCACACTACACACTGCACACTGCACACTACACACTACAGCTACACTAGCTACCTCACGCACCCCAGCGACGACGCGCGCTGGGCTGCCAACCCCGAGCGCTGACTGTACGTACCCCGCACACTGCACACTGCACACTACACACTGCACACTGCACACTACACACTACAGCTACACTAGCTACCTCACGCACCCCAGCGACGACGCGCGCTGGGCTGCCAACCCCGAGCGCTGACTGTACGTACCCCGCACACTGCACACTGCACACTACACACTGCACACTACACACTGCACACTACACACTGCACACTACACACTACAGCTACACTAGCTACCTCACGCACCCCAGCGACGACGCGCGCTGGGCTGCCAACCCCGAGCGCTGACTGTACGTACCCCGCACACTGCACACTGCACACTACACACTGCACACTGCACACTACACACTACAGCTACACTAGCTACCTCACGCACCCCAGCGACGACGCGCGCTGGGCTGCCAACCCCGAGCGCTGACTGTACGTACCCCGCACACTGCACACTGCACACTACACACTGCACACTACACACTGCACACTACTACACACTACACACTGCACACTACACACTACAGCTACACTAGCTACCTCACGCACCCCAGCGACGACGCGCGCTGGGCTGCCAACCCCGAGCGCTGACTGTACGTACCCCGCACACTGCACACTGCACACTACACACTGCACACTGCACACTACACACTACAGCTACACTAGCTACCTCACGCACCCCAGCGACGACGCGCGCTGGGCTGCCAACCCCGAGCGCTGACTGTACGTACCCCGCACACTGCACACTGCACACTACACACTGCACACTGCACACTACACACTACAGCTACACTAGCTACCTCACGCACCCCAGCGACGACGCGCGCTGGGCTGCCAACCCCGAGCGCTGACTGTACGTACCCCGCACACTGCACACTGCACACTACACACTGCACACTGCACACTACACACTACAGCTACACTAGCTACCTCACGCACCCCAGCGACGACGCGCGCTGGGCTGCCAACCCCGAGCGCTGACTGTACGTACCCCGCACACTGCACACTGCACACTACACACTGCACACTGCACACTACACACTACAGCTACACTAGCTACCTCACGCACCCCAGCGACGACGCGCGCTGGGCTGCCAACCCCGAGCGCTGACTGTACGTACCCCGCACACTGCACACTGCACACTACACACTGCACACTGCACACTACACACTACAGCTACACTAGCTACCTCACGCACCCCAGCGACGACGCGCGCTGGGCTGCCAACCCCGAGCGCTGACTGTACGTACCCCGCACACTGCACACTGCACACTACACACTGCACACTGCACACTACACACTACAGCTACACTAGCTACCTCACGCACCCCAGCGACGACGCGCGCTGGGCTGCCAACCCCGAGCGCTGACTGTACGTACCCCGCACACTGCACACTGCACACTACACACTGCACACTACACACTGCACACTACACACTACAGCTACACTAGCTACCTCACGCACCCCATCACTATAAACAGACCATAAAATAATTATTTCCAATATCTATATAATGAAAATTACGTGTCACTTTGTTTGTCCGCGATGGACTCCGAAAACTACTGAACATATTGCAAATTTGATTTGCACATTGTGTGCAATTTGATCCAACTTGAAAGATAGGATAGCTTACATCTCAATTTATAGTCGCAATATTATTGTATTAGCAGACAAACAATATGACACGTAATTTTTATATATAAGGAAAGGACTAGCTGTACCCGCGACTTCGTCCGCGTGGAATTTAACTTTATTTTTCTAAAATAAAAGTAGCCTAAGTTACTCCTTATTACATTATCTACTTGCCAAACAAAGTCCCGTTAAACTCAGTGCAGCCATTTCAGAGATTAGCCGGAACAAACACACAGACAGACAGACAAAAATTGTAACAAATATTATTGCGATGTATGTACCGTACTTATATTCATATGCATGTAGTAAAAACGGTTATTTCAATATTACAAACAGACACTCTAATTTTATTTATATGTATATATTATTATTATTATTATATTTGTCTGCTCCAACTTATATGAATGTGGATGGTTATAAGGGTAGAGGAAGATCGAAAAAGAGATGGATGGACTGTGTGAAAGATGATATGGTGAGAAAGGGAGTAAATAACGGGATGACTGCGAGCAGAGATGAATGGAAGAGAAAAACATATTACGCCGACCCCAAATAAATGGGATAAGGAAGAAGCAGATGATGATGATTTGTCTGCTCCAAATATTTGCCTTCCCAATTCGTTGTAACTGTGTATTAATGTAATGGCAATAAAATCTAATTCTATAGTCTAGTATAGATTTCTATTCCCCGGCAGATCAAAAACGAAGCCTCCGGACGAGGCTCACAGGGCTCCACGGCCGAGGAAAGGCATCCGGCTCCGGTGGAAAAAGCTCCTCGTCGGAGTGAGGTAGGCGCCGCCCGCTCACAGCGCTAGAACGTTCTAGAACATTTCTATTTCCGTGCGGAGAACGGAGACATTATATTGTTGTATTAATTTTATACAAGTTACCACGACGCGACGGGCCGCCTTTGAATCTCTTGCTTCAAAAAGCAACACCAACACAATTGCAAGTTAGATTTGATTCATATCATTACCAATATTTACAACGCTTATATAAACTGGTGATATATTTTTTTATGTTTATATAGAATATACATACAAACAAGCCTGCAAAACCATTTTATCTATGGGTCTTTATTTTTTTAAAAGAGCACTAATATCTATGGTTTTTCGCAACGAGGTATGATATGCGTAAAGCAGATGAAATTTATTGAGTGCACTGATGAGCCCAACAAATGGTCCATCTATGCACTCGCTTGCATATCTACTAATTTAATAATATTTATTCCAATTGAATATCTCAATTACTATATGTATATATATATATATATATAAGTCTACTAGTATTTCTTGGTTCGCTTGTAATGTGTACGCCGAACAGAGGCGGCCTGACGCGTCGTTAGCTAACGTTAAAAACCACTGCATTCCTACGTTCGTAGCTATTTTCGACGATTTTAGAAGTATTTTTATATGAATTTTTTAATTTATTTACAACGGGAATTTTAATGTTATTAAATTAAGTTATTAACTTATACTAAGTACCTAATAATTTTATTTTGTTGTGAACAAAATGTACGACAGATGAATGGAGTGTAGAGTATGATAGTTATTACTGCCTTTACACGTGCTCTTTAGCGCACGAAAGAAGGTCTATATAAATGTAGACAGAGACCGAGAGATACCGCGCGCGCAAACAGTGAGCATACCCATGTTCTTCAATCGTGCGTGCTTTAGCGCCTTTTTATAATAATTAATTAATATTTCAAAGTGAGGATATCTGATAATAGAGCAAAGACTTTATAGAGTTATTGATAATTTATAAATCAGAATCGTGACTTGGAAAAATAAAATGTGTAATAAAATATTAAAAGAAAGTGTAAGTGAGTGAAATAATAGTAAAATGCAATCGCACAGGAACGCGCTCATTGGCTTTCCCGCGCTAAATAGCGCGTGAATGTTCTGGAATATAAATTATGTGGAATTAAAAAATAAGATTATAAAGAAGTGTATATAAGAATGACTTGAAACATACATGCATTCACGCGCAAAAGTGTGATCACAAAAAATAGTAAAATGCAATCGCACACGATTGCACGCGCAGTGTTTCCCGAGCTGTCTTTCCCGCGCTGTCTTTCCCGCGCTGAATCGCGCGCGATCCTGAACGTGTAAAGGCAGCTATTTACACATAATAATTTAAATATACATCACAATACGCGGTTTTATATATTTTATATTCTATTCTAAGAATTCTAATCTTCTGTTACGTAGAGTAACAGAGTTTCCGACATTTATAATCTGCTGATTTTTTTTTTTTACGTATTTTTATTGTGTAAAGACATGGTCCTCATTCGGTTGAATAGTGGCGTTGCTTTTGTTCGTTGTAGACTATATTTTTTTTAATTGTTTGACGTAATTTTGTAATTGTATTGATCAACAAACTTAATACCTATGGATTTAAGTAACAGTTGTTTAAAAATATAGATGTCACAAAATGGACAGAATAGAATAGAAAATCATTTATTTAAATAAACTTACATTACATTGAAGCACTTTAGAATAGTCATCACTTTTTTAATCTACCGTTCATTCGAAAAACTGTTTCATCACAAGAAGAATAAGCAAGAAACTTGTGTGATACTCTTTTAGATAATTTAGTTGTTACCTTATATTTTAAGTTGAAGTGTGTAAATACACACTACCAACTAGTTCAGTAAATCAGTCGTAGTGATTAGACAGAATTGTCCAAGGAAATTTAAAAAAAATGTTATTATAGAACTTCCTCC